CTCTGTCTGAGCCACCTCTCTGCCCAAGCAGGCCAGGATATGCATCAGCAATGCCTGTGGCTGCACCAGCTGGCAGAGGGGAGGGCAGACAGTGAAGAAGTTCAGAGAAACTGGAGAAGGAAGGGGGACCCGTTCTGGAGGTAACCTTGTCCCCTGATGCTGTTCTGAGTCAGGGCCTCCACCAAGGAGGAGAGAGGAAGCGTAAGACTTGCCAAGAAGAGCTGGGCCCTGGCTGTGGAGAGGGGCAGGTGCTGAGCACCTTGTGAATTGGGTCACCCGCACCATCCGGCCCACCCCTCAGCCTTACCCATGGCACAGTTGGGTTCCGGCTTTGCTTTGTGTTATGAGCACGCAGTAGTAGGCCAGCCACACTCACCCACCTCATTGTGATTCAGACCCCATTAGGAAGAGGGAAGACTCTGACCACAAAGCACCGGAAGAGAGGGCAAACACATCCTTTCTTTACTTAGACCCTTTCAATGGCCACCCTGCCTCAGGAGAAAACCCAAGTCCTGCCTGGTCTGCACTTGTTGTTACCTCTCTTGCTAAATTATGTTCGAGTCTTGAACATACTCCCATCCTTCTCAGTTCTAGTGCCTGGAACATCCCCCCCCCTCACCTGGCTAACCTGTAGTCATCCTTCAGCGTCACAAGCCTGCACTGTGCTTCCGTGACTCATCATCCCTAAGACTGGATTGCGTACAACTTTTATGGGAGCCCAGACCCCTTTCTGCGCCTGTCACTCATGGCACAGTTGCATGTGTGGCTCTCTATGAGACTTTAAACCTGCAGGCAGAGACCATCACATGCCCCATTCTTAGTGCAGGGCCTGGCACATAGTAGGTGAACATTTATTAGATAAGTGAATGAGAGAAGCAAAAGAGGCCAAGGCCAGGTGAGTATCACAAAAAAGAAAGCAGGGCATCGGACCAGACGCTGTGGCTCTGACCACACGCACAGCCACTGTCCACAGCCTGGTCTCCAACAAGCCTGAGGGTGAGCACCATGCCTGACTCCTCTGTCAAGTCCAGAGCCTCAGCAGAGTCTGGCACCGAGAAGGCTCGGGAGCGGGCTCTGCTGGAACGACAGAAGCAACTGCAGCATGTTGGCTGGTTGACTGCTGGGGCCTAGGACTCCTGGATCACTTCTGCAAAGCTTGTCCTCAAACACCCAGACCTATGCTGCTTCTGCAAGGAAATAAAGATTAAACTGAATTCTAAGGAGAGTGGCTACAGCACTTCTACCAGCTTTTTTCTATTTCACCTTCTAATCACTGAAATCCTGCCTAGCTTAGGCCTCCTCTTGCATGAAGCTCTGTGAACTTGCAGTCCACAAGGGCTTCCTTCTTCTCTGTTCTCTGTCATTTTCTGGCTAAGGGCCTAAGTGAGTCATTTCACTCACTGAGCCTCAGTCTTCTCTGCTGTAAAATGGGACAATAGAGCCACACAGCTCACAAGAGAGTTATGAGGATTAAGTGACGTCAGGCTTGCTAGGCAGCCAGCACAAAGCAGGTCCACAAAGGTTAGAGCTCCCTACCACACTGTCTCATGTATGTTAGCTCTGACATCTCAGCAGAGCACAAACTCCTTGAGAATAGGAAGGATATCTAATTGTCTCTCATTCATCTTGACGCTAAGCACAGGGGCTGGGCACACAGTGCTGCACCCACTCAGTCCCACCCAGTAACTTACATCTGTTTTCCTTCCAGAGGAAATGCAGATGCTGGATTTTGATGGTGGGGAAACTAAACCCATTGCTTTCTCAATACCCCGGCTGGCCCTGCCGTGCACTAGCTGAGGGTTCCACACACAGGAGTTCTCAGTGGTGCCGCTGGGGAGACCATCAGATGGAGTGTCGTGTAACCTGGTCGGCCGGCCAGGCTGACGGCCTGGCATTCGAAGCTCGCTTGCACCGAAAGCCCGGGAGGCAGCACCAGGATGGGCCCCACCCAGGAACATGACTCTCGGGCCTCCTCTGCGGTGCCAGGACCCCATGGTGGTGCCAGGCATGAGCATGAAAGATGCCCCATTACCTCAAGCTTAATGGCCTGTGTCCTGATCCCTGGTGACAGAGAGCAGAAGGCAGGAAGTCCGGGAGGCCATAAACGCGCTCAACGCATACACCTGCAGCCGGGTGCTCCCACCTTTCCCGCTCCACAGCCCATAAACCCATCCCAGGAAGAGCAAACACTGAGCAAACAGCACTTGGCTTTCAAAGCTCTCCTCAAGGGTGCTTCCCTTTCCCTCCCCACTCCCCTCTTCCAGGGACCAGCTTGGGCTTCTCTGTTTATACTTCAAGGCCACTGAGTCCTGAGGGGCCCTGCTTGGCTGCAGAGCCCCTCACTCCTTCCCCTCATCTCAGCCTCTGGCAGCCTGGACTCTCCTTTCCCCATGCCCTGCTGGTCCCCAGCCCTTCACAAAGCCAGGGCTTGTCTTCTGAGTGTCTTATGAGACAAAGAGCACCTAGGCTTCAGTGGGCTAGCCTGGGAACCTAGGCATCTTATGATATTGTTTACATAGGAAAACACATCCTAAGTTGCAGTTCAGAAAGCAGGAAATGAGCATACATTTCCTGAAAGCATGACCCAAGGTGTGCCTACTTTAGCCCCAGGAATCTTAGGTCCCAGGACCCCCAGTTTCCTCACTGCGCCCTGTCCCTCTCTTCCACGGCAGCCCCGGTGAGCTGCCATGTTACTGCTGGGAGAGGAAGGCCCCTGGCTGTAGGGGGAAGCCCTCCCCCAGCTCAGCAGCTGTTTCCACTGATGGCATGTTTGGAAAGCAGGTGCCTTAACTCAGGGGGCTGTGCAGACGCCCTGTGGGGTTACTGTTACCACAAGCAGGCCCAGGGGCAGGCAGAGCTGGCAGAGAGGAGGATGAAGAGGGCCGAGGGCTATGGACTCTGGTCTCTCTGAGCTCCTAATAGTCCTTCCCAATGTCTCCTGTTCTATGGAGTGCTCAGAGGCCTGGAGCATCACAGGGTCAGGGCTGAAGGTAAAGGGGAGACCAGGAACCTGGAGTGCCTTGGTAAGGAATCCCGGGAGAAATGGCTGCCTGCCATGTGCCCAGCTCCATTCTGAGAAAATCAGATCCTGGCAGGACTTTCTGCAGAAAGACAACATGACTGGTGCCATGGACAGTGGGCGGCCTGGCCACTGCTGACTGGACCTGGGTCCCCACCTGAGGCACAGGGCACTGGGGTCTGGCTGGACACAGGGAGGCAGGACACTCCAGGTGCTCAGAGCAAGGCCCACCCTGTGAGGGCCTTCATGTTGGGTGCTGGTCACCCAGCCCTGCCTGACCCTCTCCAGGAAGTAGGAGCACACATGACCTGAGTGAGCGCCTCAGTCTCCCTGAGCCTAACTGGGAGGCACAGCCAGCACACCCTCCACTGTCGCCCACCACAGGGCGTTTCTTCCTGGCAACTTCAGCCGAGGGATGTGGTCAGGAGTGTTTGTCTGTCCTAATTTTCTCCGCTATTTCCCATACCCATCAGAGCACATTCTAGCTTGTTTTTCTTCTACCCAAAGGAAATAGCCTGAAAATGGTGCCCCACTAAGTTTTCTTTACCCCACCCACATGGGTTCCCAGCTATCTCCTCATGTGGAAAACTGCACGAGGCCAGGAGTTAAGAGACTCTAGTCTGAGTCCTGCTATTAACCTCAGGAATGACCTCAGGAAGACACCCCCCTCTGGCCTCAATTTCCCATCTTCAAAATGGTTCTCCCAACTTGCAGAGAACTTCCCATTTATCTCTCCTTGCCACATTCTGTGCGATTTCCACATCTGTCTTACAATTCATGCATTTTTTCTCTTCAACCATGTTAATTCTTCAACCTGCACACTGAGTTGTTTTCTGTTTCCTTTTTGTTTTTTCTCTCTGGGGGTTTCCACGTGGCCCTTCCTACCAGAAAGGCTCTTAACTGGACAGGTCAGGGAACCAGTGTGAGATCTGCAGGCTGCTAAATATCTACATCCAATTATGCACGTGGGCAGGAACTGCCATGGGGCCGTGGAGCCACTAGACCAACTGCTGGATAAGCTGGGTGGGGGCTCCACCGACGCCTGCCTGCCATCAGCTCGGACTCTGACCTGGCACTACTGTCCACAGAATTAACCTCCATGACTACATGGTCACCTTCTAGAACTTCTTTTGGTTCCCTTTCCCCCCGATACTTTTCTGTTTTGTCTTGTGGGTTTTATACTTCCCCTTAGCTCTTTAATTTTTTTAAGCATACTTTTTTAGTATCTCTTTCAGACTCTTCTATCATTTCCAGGTATTGAGGAGCTAATTACCCCGTTTTTCCATTTGCTGACTCTTTCTCTGGTGGTATATTTTTCTCTGGTGGATTTTTCTTTCTTTATTATTAGCTCATTGTTCAACAGAAGTGTTTGCCACTGGAGTCTCTGGAAAGTGGTTTTAATATGCGTGTCTCCTGGGACCCTAGGAGTTTTACCAGTTTTGGTCTTTTGTCCCCTCTATGTATACTGGGCTTGGGGTTTCTACACCACCTTGTTAGTGTAAATTCAGTCCCTTTTTGGGACTTGGGAGTACCTCAAGCTTGAACTTCTGTTTTTTAAAGAGAGCCTTTCTCCTCGTAGCCCCAGGTGGAAGGAAGCTCCCTTCCTCAGGACAGTGGAAACCCAGTCTGTCTTACTGCTAACAAGTCCTCACACTTAGGAGAATTCAAAATTGTTATTTATTCTTTTACTGCTGCCTCTCAAAAACATACCAGTTCAACAGCATATAAAAGTCTCATCTGTCTTTCCCATCACTGTATCTTGAGGGCCAGGATGGGGTCCCACACATAACAGGTTCTCAGTACATATTTGCTGGATAAACGACTGAAGAACACTGATTTCTGGGGGCTCTGTCCCCAGAAACAGTTTAATACTTGCCTCGATTGAATGATCTCCAAGCCTCCCACTTCTACCACCCCTGTCCCGTCACCCAAGCCCTGATGCCCTGTCCTAATCAGGGCTGGCTGCCTGGGATGGACTCACTGGAGATGGAGGTGTAGACGGCGAAGGCTCTGAGACTGGTCATCTCCTTCCTGCGGGTGATCTCCACCCGTGTGCGGAAGATGTTCTCCCAGGCGTACAGCTTGAGCAGCTTGATACCGCGGAGCATTTCATTGGTTTGCTTCAGCCTCTCATTGGAGTATTCCTGTCAGGGGTGACTGAGTTAGAGAAGTTTCCTCTGACCCTGTCCCACCCAAGAGGAAGGAGCCAGGTCTATGTCCAGCTCCTGTCCCCGCAGGGATGCTCCCCACCTTCTCCATTAATCCCATATCACAGACAAAGAAACTGAGGCCTGGAGAGATGGAGTGACCTGCTCAAGGTCAGTGATAGTGTGGATGTGTATGGATGGCTGTTTGGTGGCATCTGGGGAAGAGTGAGGAGACCTGCTGGTGTGAGGGGAGACAGAGTAAGCAGGCACAAGGGAGACAGATGGGAAAAAAGGACATGTGCACACCTGGGGGCACTCACCAGTGTGCTCCGCTGGGCCTGGGACAGCTTGGTGGCCACAAAGTACTGGACAGGGGCCAGTAGAATGATGACAGCTGCTCCAATTAAGGCACTGACTCCGAGGATGTAGTACAGGAGAATCACACCCACGATGATCTGAGGGGGGTCATGGGATGAGTTCCCTTCGACTTGGTGGCTGCCCCACCAGGGGGTGTTGGCAAAGTCCCTCCTTCCCCAGTTCCCTAGTGAGGGACATGCCTTGGTGCCCAGGTTTCCAAATTGCCTTGGGAGGTAGAGGATGAGGTGTGACAAAGCAATTTCAGAAAGAGGGATTAGCATGATGGGCTCTCCCACAAGCAGAGTTTCTGGGCTGGTAACTAACTGCATTTATCTGCAAGCCTGCTGACTCCAAGTCTCCTTTCCAGATGGAAGCCTCAGAGCTGAGGTTGCACAATGCGTGTGACAGCACCTTTTCTGTTTGCTGGCTATCAAGGCTGATGTTTCCCTCTCATTGGAAAAAAGTGACACATGAGCAAAGGGACATGGCTGCATCCATACCAGACAAAACCAGTCCAGGGTCCCAGAGTTTACTTTTCATTCTTATGCTCCCAGTGTCTTTAATTTTTAGTGAACCTGGCAAGTATCCTCTGAATAGAGAATTCATTCTGCTGCTAGTGTTATGTAAATGACTGCCTGCTTCTGAATATTTATGAGAAGTGTAAATGCTCTTGCCAGCCCCCAAAGCATCAAGGTGACAATTTCTCAGCTTGGCTTCAAAGGCAGGCACCTCAAAATTCAGGGCTTATTCTAGAGGAACAGATGCACTGTCTTCCTTAATTGAAAACAAAAATGTTTTCAATTGGGTTGCCAACTATTTCAGCTGATTGTAGCTAATGGGCTCAGTTGGGTTGGACCTACAATCCCTGAGCCCTACACCAAAAGGGCAGTAGGCTCCTTGCACCACCTCAAGGGCAGAAGAGTGTGTAATTTCTGCTAATTGCAGACTGCCTCCTGTATTAGCAAGTTCTTAGCAGCTGCTAAGTGGCCCCTTCTTCACCCACCTCCCAGTGTTTAACTGATGTTAAATGCTGGCATGGATGGGCAGAGGAGCACATTAAGAGAAGAACAAACTCCTGCTCCTGCTGGGGGCCACTCCTATTACTCTCCTGGAAAATTATCTCTGGCATTCAGTCTTTTCACTAATTGTTCTTATATGGAGGCAAGCAGAGCTTCTTTTAGCAGCTTAGGTACAGTCAGACACCAAGGAAGCTCCAGAGCATTCCCAGAGTCCCCGTCAGGGCACCTGCTGGGGTTGGTGCTTGTACCTCCATCACCTCCAAGTGCTGCCAGGCTCCCCCTCATGCTCTGCCACCCCTTGCAGTGTGCCCCAACCCCCCCGCCAAGACCCTTCTGTCCACTCCTCTCTTCTGCAGGGGTCTGAGTGGACCCCACAGGAAAACATACTAGAAATCAGGGATTCTGAGTGTGCGAAGCAAGTGTGGGGAACAAAAGGACTATTTTGTCCCCCATTTATAAGTTAGGAAGCAATCTTGGGTAATAGTGGGAGATCACAGTCCCCAGGGTCTGCAGCCCTGACTTTGAATGAAGTTCCAGCACTTACTGCTGTGCATTTTGGGCAAGTTACTTAACTTTCCTGATTGTCAGCTTCTTTATCTTTCAAATGATGATTTCAATGCCCACTTAGCAAGACTGCTGTGCAAATTAAATGAACATATATGATAAGCACCTAGAATAGTGCCTGGCACATAGTTGGAGATACATGCAAGATGGCTGACTCTCCTTCGTAAAAACAAATAAACAGGTCTTACGCCCTGTCACTAGGGAACCACAGAAAGATGATCCATGAGTGTGGTGCTGCTACCAACCCACTCTGGGGCCTGGAGTAAGGCCCCTGCCCTCTCCAGGCCTCTGATACCCATGGGGTGAGGAATCAAGGAAGTGCCCACTCTAGTTCCTTAACACTGAGCCCATTAGCTACAATCAGCTGAAATAGTTGGCAAATTATTTGAATGCACATTTGTTTTGCTGAGAAGGTTTCATTGGATTTTAAAAGTGTATGTAGATTGGTGGTTTCTTAGGGTTGGGGGAAGGATGAGGAGTGACTGCCCAAGGGTTTGGGTTTCTTTTTGGGGTGTTGAAAATGTTCTAAAATTGTGAAGGTATTTGCACAACTCTGCAAAGATGCTAAACCCCACTGAATTTTTGTACTTTAACTGGGTGAATTATATCTCAATAAAGCTCTTATGAAAAGAAAGTACAGTGACCAAAAGGAGATTGCAAACCAAGGACAGCCCATGGGGACAAAGGAATGGGGCTCTTGAGCTAATTTCAATATTATCAAAAGCCTTCCAGGCTGCACACAGAGTCCTGAGTGGGTGGAAAGGATTGTATCAGCTTTGGGTGGTAACACTGCGTCTTGGGGGCTGGTCAAGGCTAGAAGTGGCAAAGCCCAGTCTTTGAAGAATTAAAAGTGGAAAACCAAATGATACTTCCTGATAAGTAAGCAGAGGCAAGTAATTAATGGAGATAATAATTCCTACCCTGCTCCCCTCCCCACAGTGTTGTGAGGGTTAGTTATACAAGTGAGAGAGGTTGGGGCAGGGGTTATTAGTTACTACTATAGTTGGCAATGATGTATGTGCAAGGAACATTATGAATGATAATGCCAGTAACAATGCAGCAGCTAATACCAATAACAAAATTTTTCAAAACAGGCTATTCAAGGGGACACAGCAGAAAAGGTTCTTGTGGATAGATGGCTGGTGACGTATGAGATGAGCTCTCTAGGCCCTTCTATAACTTCCATAGTCACCAGCCCTCCTCGGTAGAGTGGAGGGGGCACTGGCATCTGGGGATGGGTAAGCAGTAATGGGGGATAACATATAGAGCTGTGAAAAGGACCTTCAGATTCCCTGCTCTATGTCCCCATCTTGTTTAGCTGCCTCCTTGTACAAGCCTCTCCTTCTTTTCATTTAATAGCTTTTAAATATAAGCTTTTTAGGTAAGGAGGACCAATGAAAAGTACTTGAGGTTAAGGTTTACAGACTCTGCGTCCCAAGAAGCAATGGATTCTGGACTGGTAAGTTTTTCACTCACACCGAAGTGTGCAAGGGATCTGATATTTACTGAGTGGCTACTCTATGCCCAGCACTCTGCTTGATGCTGTACTTACATTAGCTAATTGACTTGTCATAGCAACTCCAGAGGGTAGGAATCATTCCCGTTTCATAGATGAGGAAACTGAGGTTCAGAGAAGTTAAATATTTGAATCAACCTGTCTCACCCAAGTCCAGACACTTTTCCTGTGTACCAGGCAGCCCCTATGGGGCCTTCAGGGCCTCTGGGAATGGATCTGGGATTCCCACTTCTGGCCTGAGCACTGGAGAGAAGATTCATTTCCAGACACAGGACAGGAATCACAGGCTCTGTCATGGAGGGCTCCAGATGGAGAGGGAGCAGACGGGGCCAGGAGACAGGTAAACCAGGCCTGAGACTCTCCTACCACCATTAGGAGAGAATGAGCCTCCTTCAGATTCAGCTCCAGAAGTCATTTGGCTTAAAAAACACTCACGTTTTTTATTTTCAAAAAGAATGCATGCTTCTTGGAGAATTTAGAAATGCATAAAGAAAAGAGAAAATCCCACAGTGGGGCCTTCTAGTTCTTTTCTCTGTGTGAATCTGTGCAAATGTATACCTACATATAGATCAATTTAATAGGAAGCTCATTGCATATACCACTTTGTAACTTTTTTTTTGCTTAAAGATGCATTAATAACACTTCATACTTCAATGTAATTAAGTATTTTGCTATAACATAACTTTTAATCTCAGCAAAATATATTCCATGTATGATTATCCTATAGATTTTTTTAAAGGTTGTTTGCATTTTTTAGAGTTTTGATGACAGTGCCTTTTCTGATCTTCAAGAGAGATGGCTAAACCACTTACAGAGTGTGAGACAGTGCAGAGACCCAGGGGTACAGCCCATGCAGACCCCAAGGTGGGTGCAAGGTACAGCAAACATGGACTGGAAGATGAGCTTCTAGTCACTGGACATGTACCATGAGATTCTGGTTCTGTGTCTCTCCACACTCCCCCCACCCCTCCAAAGGACACCTTCCTTACCTGTACTGGCATAGCCCAGAGGTTTGGGCATAAGAAGAAAAACCACATGAGCTGGTTGGTGTCAATGGCAACCAGGTTACAGATCTGCCCGGCAGTCATTTCCCCCATGGATAGGTTGGAGGTGGACAGGTGCATAATTTTATTATAAATCTTGGTCTAGAAATGAGGACAGAGTGTTTCACATTTGTCATCATCACCATCCAAATCACCACTCCAGATGCTGCTGGTCTGTGACATGCCAAGGCCTTTTCAGACATTCCCCCGTGGGGCCCCAGAGCAGCTCTGTAAGGGGGTACTGGATTTACAACTGGGGCAACTAAGGCTCGAGAGGTAAAGGGCTTTGATTACAGATCAAGCAAGTCAGAGAGGTAGCATTCAAGTGAGGAATCTGTGCCAGCCTGGCATGCTTCCCCTGCAAGCAGGACCTCTCCCTTGTGGACAAGACTTAATTAGCTCTTAAATCTTAAAAGCAAATCTTCATGTCCAGTTGTATTCTTGATTTACCAGAAGCCAGTGGAGAACACATTTCAGGGCCATAAAAATGATGAAGTGGGGCCGCCGTCTGCTATAATGAGGCTGTCTCTAACTGGGGGAGGAGGTATGCTCTGGAGCCAAGTCCTGTCTTAATTGAGGCTTGAAACAAAACAAGGGTTCGGCCTGGGAAGGTTTTATGTGACACATGAGACATGACATTCGAGTGCCGATCAATCCCCCACTGACCAGAGTCCGGCATTCCCCCGAGAATCTTGTTCTGCCTCCCCAGGGCAGATGGGAGCAGCCAATCGCAATGGTTTTCTCTGAGCTCCGAACCCAAAAGCTCTACATGCAAAGTGACCATGCCTCCCAGATAGATGTCAATTTTCAGGCTGTGTGCTCTTGAACAAGGAAAAAATGCTTTCCTGTTTTAAATGTCCTAGGGATGCTTGTTCTGTTGTAAGGTGGATTCCCACTCCTTAACTCATCTTTTGTATAAACAAGGGTTTTTTGTGGGTCAGGTTTGTCTAAAGAATGAACCTATTCTATGTCTTTTTGTGTGTTTATATACACCATGGATAAGGTTTAAAATCATGGCAAAGGCATTTTTTGACAGATCTTTGCACATCCTAGGTTTGTGAAATCAGTCTTCAAAGAATAATAATAAATCTAGTTTCAGTGAAGTAGGAACATAGAGCAATCTGTCAAATAAAGTGTTACGTAAAGATCAAGATACACAGAAATACACAAACAACTAATAACTGGCATATGCCAAAAATTATACTTAATACAAGAATTTTGTTTATTAACTCTTCATGTAAGAAACTATGGTTATTCTCAAACTCATGAAGACATAGATCCTTATATATAATTTTCTGTAAATCTCTGAAAGGTTTTTTTCCTAATTTGTTTCCATAATTAATGTCTGAATTTCCTTTCTGTGGCATATGAATTAATCTCCTTTATTAATGCAAATTTTCAGACAGCTTGAAAAAACAATTACATTCAAATACATTAAAAAACCCATTTTTGGCTCTTTAAGTGTAATTGGAAAATATCTGGCCAGTGTGTGATTTATAACACACAAATAGAAAGGAGATTTAATTACAAAATTGTTCAACCACAAAACTGACTGTTGTCTGTGGTGGTACGTGCCTGTCACTAGAGGGGTCTGGGCAGAGGCTGGGATTTTCAGAGAGGTTTTCTGAACTGAGCAATAGCTTGGTTCCTCCTAACTCTGAGCCCCTATGAGTCTTGAATTTTCTGGGGACTCTTTCCACTATTCTCATATGATGACATTCCTGACAAAATGGTTTGCTTTCTCAATGAAAAATTACTGGGGATGGGAAGTGTTGTCATGTACAGTTTCACAGGGTGCACACCACACAACTCCAGGGGTGGCCATTCACACAGCTTCACCAGGATGACCAGATTTGGACCCTGACATTGTCCCCAGCCCAGGCTATACCCTTTTACTCTTAGTCCCTTTTCTACAAAGCCTGACACTGGCTCCCAAAAGACAAGTCAGTGTTAATGATTTTGAGGAATATTTCTGAAGCATGAGGTAGCTTTGGGATTTAGTCACAACTTCCTAGTGTTCTGACGTCATGGAAATTGCTGGGTATAGTAGAATCTGCTAGTTGTCCCCCAATATCCATTCTCTCCTTTTCACAGAAGAACTGCTAGCAGTGCATATGTGTCTGTCAAGAATAAAGATACGCTTTCTAGGTATGGCCATGTGGCCAGTTCTTACTAGTGGGAAGGGAGAGGATATGTGCAGCTTCTGAATCCTGATTTTAAAGGAAGGCAGCATTTCCTCCTATTGTCCCATCTTTCTTCCTGCTTGCTTAAATGTAGTAGACATGATAGTGGCAATTTCAGTAGTTGTCTTAACCATGAGCCAAAAGTCACATGAGCGGGCTGGCAGAGCAACATTACAGAAGGGGCCAAGGTCTCTGATGATTGTGTAGCTACCATACCAGCCCTGACTTCATGTGAAAACAAACTTTACTCCTACTTAAACCACTCTCATACTGGGTCTCTCCATTCCAACAGCTGAACCAAAATTCTAATGAAAACTGGGGCTAAATGACTCTCATCACCACCTGGCACACAGGGGCCCTGAATCCTTCCTGACTTTGACCATCCTTACAACCAGTTCTGAGAAGGAGGCCACAGCAGGCAAGAGCAAGAACCTAGACCTAAGACCTATCAGGCTAAGTCTCTCTCATTATGACCCAGGGCTTAAGAACTCAAGTAGATCTTAGAGGTTATTTAGTCCTGGTATGTCAAACATGTTTCTTTTTTTTTTTGCACCCAAAGAAGACTGTCTGGTAGCAGACCCCTGGAATAGTATATGGAAGATTCTGAGGCTGCCTTTGCTTTACATTCAGCAAGTAAGAGTTCTTTGATCAATTAGTAATGTCTGTCCCCTTCAAGTCTGAGCAGTTGACCTCTCAGATGTAGTCCAAGGCAATTAGAGCTAGAATGACCACATTTCCCAGGTCTAGTCCAAGGCACGTTCCACTACACATACTGCCTGGTCATGGTTACTGTTTCAAAGCACTGTTAAAGGGCAACAAAAAAATGTATGCACGGCAGCATTATCCTTGAATGTCCGTGAAGATGAATAGTGTGGTTCTTGTGAAGTGAAAAATAATCATTCAATTACCTGAATGGCTCCTCTCAAGTTAATTCCTGTTTCAATGGCGACATAGTAGGATGCCTGCAGAAACGTCCTTTGCAGGAGGAGGGCAAGGAACAGAAGCACAGCTAAGACGTAGGCATTGGCAAGGAACTCTTGGGACGAGACAAAGTAAACCCCGAGAAACTGAGTCTGTTGGAAAGAGCAGTTCAGAGGTGGCTGTCACTGCCAGCAAAATGACCAGTATCAGTACCTGTTACTATACCATGGTGACCATTATTAGGGGACCCTTCATACTTGCAGAGCCTTGTACAATTGCTTGTGACTGAAATATCAAACTGATAAATCCAACCAAACATCCTTCTAGCTACAGGAGGGTTGCCTATGCCCCCTTCATCACCCACTTCAGGGAGCACAGTGTAGCCCAGTTTTAACATCACGCACATAAATATGCTTTGTGGTCACTAGGCCCAGGGGAACTCACTCTGAGTAGAACAAGAATAAATAGAGCAGATCACAGAGCAGCTAAAATCAGAACTGCTAGAACAAATCCCACGATGTGTGTTCTCTGCTACAAAAATGGAATCAGCTGAGGCCTTGTCCCACACTTACCAACAGCCCTGTAGGAATTTCTGGGGAGAAAAGACCAGTGGGAAACATGGCATGGTAGTACTTTCAGGCAGACATGGAAACTCATCACTTATGAGACCGAAAAGACCTCGGACCCTAGCTGCTCAAATCTGAGGGTTCCTGGGACTTCCTTTTAAATGTAAGATTCTTTGGCTGCACCTCCAGCAAAATCTCAGATAACAAGCAGTGGAAAAAAATTAATGTTTTGGCTTATTGCTAAAGATACCCAGGAACAAGAGCATGTCAGTTCCCAAATTCAGCATCAACAGCTCCTAGGAAAACTTTGATCTTGATTAGGTCCATTGCCTACCAGCAGAGTGCATCAATGTTTCCATGAAGACAGAACCCTCCCTGTTCTGGGACTCTGCCCTGAACTCCGAGAGAGCTATTTGAAAGGATGTGGGAACTGCTACAGGGTAAAGAATGGTGGGAACAAAGTAATGAGGAGCCTGAAGGCGTGCCCCTGACAAGGATCAGGCTGAAAGGGTCAGCATTCTAAATGGAGTCCTTTTCCTAGTGTCAGAAATTCTGGGATCCTGGATACAGGGCTTCCTGATAGTAGAAAAGATCTTGCCTCCCGGTTCAACAGGGCCTTCTAAACCAGCTTTCACTGCTCTGTGGAGCTGGTCCTGCTTACAGCTATCTGTCCCTCGCTCTGTGGAACAGCAGGAAGTAGACGCAGGGAGATCACTGTGGTCTCTTGGAGGAAGGCCCTACAGAGGCCTGAAGCCCAGCTGTGTCTCTGGCGTCAAAGTACCAGAGAGAAAGGCAGAGGAGAAGGGAGAAGGGAGAGAGTGGGGGTGGGCTGGAAGCAGCAAAATGCATCTCAAAACTAGGCTGCAGCGGGTGTGACCTGATCTTACAGAGGAGCAAGGGGCAGGACACAGAATTACTCTAGCGCAGAATTCCATCCTCACATTATCCTAAGTAGGAGAGAACCACTATTAGCCCAATTTATACAAGGAGAGATGTAGTTTCAGCATGTTTAAGCGACTGGCCCAAGGTCACAGGCTGGTATGGGAGAATATGTGAGCATGAACCTGTGTGAGGCCAAAAACACTACCATAGGTCCGCTACCTAAGCCTCACCCAGCTGTTTGACTTTGAGTGCCCTATTGTCAGCTATAAGCTTCTGACCTGTGGGGACAGAAACATTGCCCACTTGGCTGGTTCTGGATAAAAAATGAAGGCCTGCAGGCTTAGGAAAACCTGGTTCTGTTTAACAGGCCTTGAACTCTTCTGTTCGGCCATGCTCTGCAGAGACCTAGCTCTGGAAAGCAGAGTCCATTATTTTAAAGTAACAAAGTACATTATGGGAATTTATCCCAAAGGATATAATTTAACATAAGGACAAAGATGTTCTCTCTCTGGATTATAACAGGGAGAGAGTATGAAAGTCCATGTCAATGTCCAACCATAGGGATTGGTTAGGCAGTTTATGACACTCATGGGAACACTCCCAACCCAGAAACACCGATCCTTGTGAAAGCTCTCTGAGCAGCGTGGAATGCCACAAGTGTTGTGTCACAATGAGGGAAACACGTAGGCTGGAGGATGAGGGCCAGAAAACCCAAATGATCACATATGCTGGTTAGGCTATGGGTGGTGTTTGTAAATGCACTCATCAACATTTGTACATCTTTAACAAGACAACAAATTCTCTTTTTGCAGCACTAAAGGCAAAAAGCCTTGACCCTTCCCCCGCCACTAGCACACATACTGTAGAGACAGTAACTATATTTCTTTGGATCAACAATTTCATGACCTGTTAAAATGAAAATTTCCCTGCAGGGATAAGTCATTAAGTCATTCTTTGATCTCTCTTCAAAGAGACAGCTTAAAAGGCCTGGAGCCCAGAACAGCTACATTTTGATGAAGAAGTAGATATATACTAGCCAAAGAGGCCTGGGGCGCTGCCCAAGGAAGGCAGGCCCTGGGAAGCTTTCATGGGTGGCATGGCCCAGCACCTTTAAGGGCCTAGAGAAAAGGCCAAGGACCTACAGCTTGACATTTGGTGGGCGGTAAATGCTTTGGAGGATCAGGGGCCTCAGTCTCACATTTTCATAAGTTCTCAGGGAAGAAATTGTGTTTGTTTCCAGAGGTTTCCCCAGTAGTGTTCAATAAATAGTTTTAAAATTAATCAATGCATATGATCTTCATATCCCTTGACTTTCTATAGAGTGATTACATATTTTCCCATTTTGCAACTGAGCCAACTGAGGCCTGCAGAAAGTAAGTAATTGCTAAAGATCATAGACCCTTGACTCTGCAGTTCTGAACCTCATTTCCCTGCCTGATCAGAGATACGGCTGGACAGGCTCCCGATCCCTTGCTCTCTGGAGCTTAATGGAGGGGGAGGAGGGTCACATGGGCTTTGTTTCTTATTTTGGCAGTGGCCAAAAGGTGAATTGCCTGTAGGTTCCAGCCCTGGAAGGCCCTAGGTAAAAAAAAAACAGTGAAGGACCGACGCACCCACCCATCCATCCACAACTATTGACATGGTGGTTTAGACCCTGGACTTTGAGGTTAGCCACATCTGAGTTTGAGTCCTGAATCGTTATATACTAGCCACTGTGTCGTTAGGTAACTTCCTCAACCTCTCTGAGCCTCAGTTTTCTCACCTAAAATGAGACCATTAAGAGGTATAAAAATTCAATGTAACAGTGCACTCAATATAAGGTAACTTCTGCACTATTTGCTGAAGAATCATTTCTCCTGTGCCCCCTGAATGTCAGACATGGAGCTAGGTGCTGGGCACACAGCAGACAATGCAATTCATGTCTTAGGAGACTCAGGGTCAAGCTGGGGAAAGAGACAAGGTGTGCTCTGATGGCGCACGCATAAGATATCATGGGAGCAGAGAGAAGGGGCATCTAATTCACCCAGAGGAAGGCTTCTCGGAGGAGGTGACAACTGAGCTAAATCTTAGTGGCTGAGAAGGAGTTAGTGAGGTGGAGAGGCATACTACATGAGCATCATCATGAAAGACTACATGAGCAGCTACATGAGCATCATCATGAAAGACGAATCCACACACTGACACCACAGAAACGTTACGTGAGTTCACAAAGCCATCATCCATTGTGATAGCCACAAATGTGTATCCAAATGAGGACACACACTAATGGAAAAAGACATTCCAAGAAACACAGGACCCACAGAAGGACACACATACAGGGTCATAAGCACTTCCCAGGAGAACTCATTCAGAAACAAACACATACACACTCACAAACCCACACTGAGGTCTAGAGGCTGAACAGGTTTGGCCCGAGATCAGATACACACTGTTCTCTTTCCCTGCTCAGCTGATAGCCTAGAGCAGTGCTGGCAGGCTGTAGATGTCAGCAGTTCCTTATGATTCCAATTCCTTTGCCCTCCAGCCAGATCGGTGGCATCCATGGCAGGTGACAGATTGTGTGTAGGGGGAGGAGGGTTGGGTGGAAGAGGGGGTTAGAAACAGATCATGGGCTGCTCCCAGCCTAGGTCCCAGACTTCTCTGGGGACTGCAGCAGGGACAGGAGCATCAGAGATCTAGCAGGCCATAAGATACTTCCAGTAATTAAAGAAGAAATAAGGAATGCTTGTCCCATGGATGCCAAGGGCAGTGTGATGCTTGCCCACTGGAGTGTCCTAGAAAGGGAAGAGAGGACAGGACAGCCAGTGACAATGAAGTCAACAATGGTGCCTGGCTGCGCGGGCTGCAGTGGGATGGATTCAGGATGAGCAGGAAGAAAGGTGTTCTCAGGGAGGTGGTTAAACACTGCCACATGTAGGCGGAGAGCTTCCTTTCTTTGTAGGTCCATGAAGGCCAGTACAGCACCTGTCTCTCTGGGTTGGAGCTGCTGGGAGGTGGGGGATAAATCAAATGACCTCAATCAATGACCCCTTCCCCATTTTCTAGGCCCAGTTGAGAATTAAGCCATATCCCAGGCAACCACACGATTGGTTCTTTGCTGCTGACACTGGAGACCATATTTACTTTCAACTCTCATTTCTATGTCTGTAATTTGCTGACTGTAATTGGGCTGCAGGGAACAAATATTAAATCTGGTAAGGCCTGCTGCCACTGAGGCAGGGCCATCTGTCTCAGGGATTTATGTGCAGACAAGTAACCGGGACAAGAGCATTTCAATGAGAAGGCAGTAAATCCCAGGGTCTGTATATAAATAAAAAGAAAAGAGATGGCAAAGCTAATGTCCAGAAGAATCAAATATCTAAATGTTGTTCTCACCATCTCTTTGGGACATCCTGCCCCAGAGCCTTAGGAGAATTCCTTAAAAGTTTTGGGAAACACAGGAAGAGGACAACGATGGGGACAAACTGATAAGGGCTCTGGCCTGTTTCACTTCCCCCTGATACTAACAACTGGCTCCGTGTTGCTGTGGGATTATCAATGCAGAGCGTCCTGAGTTTGCCTATGGTCAGACCAAAACTGAAGGTGATACTCTTATGGATGAGAAGCTGTCCTTCCCTCTCTCTTTTTGGGCCAAGTCCAGAGGCTCAAAAGCCCTTAAAAGCCACTGACATTTAAATAAGCAAAAAATGTCCTTACATTCTTATTGAAAAAGAAATCTGCCCATTGCAGCCTGGTCAACTCATACTCATCTGTTAAGGCCCCATGCAAATACCCACGTCTCTATGAAGCTGCCCACAACTAGTGGCTAAGTTAGTCACTCCCTCTTCCCATGGTTCCCTGTATATGCCCCCTAATGGTAGTATTTAACACAGTATAAAAATATTTTATTTAGATTTCTCTCTATTGGATTTCACAATCTTCAGAACCAGAGGTTGTTAGCTTGATAATAATAACAGTCAATTTAGCATCATGATTCTAAGTGCCCAGACTATGGAGTGAGAGAGGATTGAGTTCAAATCCTGATTCTGTCACTCACTCTCTGAGAGACCCTAGGGAAAGTTACTCTCTGAGCCTATAGTTCCACATCTATAAAATAGGGTTAAAAATATCTACCTCTGAAGTTGTATGGTATGTGAATGACATTGCAATAAAGATGTTGCATAAAAAAATACCCTACAAGGTTGCGTTAGGGATTAAATAAGATAACACATGGTAACTCCTACATGCAGCCAGCCATGTATTAACTGGTGGATAAGTGGTTGTTATTATTGTAAACAGTCTTCATCCCAGCCATTGTCTCAGTATTGCCATAGCCCATCCAGGTCTGGCACATAGTAGGGTTCAATAAATGTCTGCTGAAAAAGCCAAACAGGTGAGGAGTGTCTCATATTCCTGACCAAAAGCAATCAGCTGATTAATCATATCTCTAGAAAAAATTAATATAAACCTTCTGAAAATTAAATGCTCTCTCTGATTTTGGAGCCCCTGAGATGAATAGCATTACACAGGGGAGTGTCATAAATTATTAAGATTGCTAATTAGTAATTCTTTGAATCATTTTTGGACTGTCTATGGCTGAAAGGTAATAGTGATGTTCTTGCTGGGGAAATAAAGCTCTGAGTCTTATTAGAGGTGACAAGTTTTCCATTTTGCGACCACCTAAACCTTAGTGGTAGCAAAGAAACAGGTGGAAGAATTAAGTACCCCACTCCCATCCCCGGAGTGGGTGCTACTGCCCCAAGCAGGGAAAATAATCCCTCAGAAAGATTCTCTGCCTGTTTTATCCAACAAACCTCAATTTGTAGCATACTTAAGCTAGAAAGACCACTGGGTATGGTTTCAGTTGTTTTTAACAGAAGGAAACCTTTTTTAAAAGAATTTTTCATGGGAAAGTCCAAAATATTAATGCAAGTGGGGCAGCTCTGAATGGAATTTGGAGAGGAAGGAGGAAAGCCCTACCCTCAGAGGGATCCCTCTCCCCTCAGCCCCAAGACGCCCCTGCACAGCCTCGTGCACTGTGGATAAACAGGCCGAAGAAGACAGATCCATGAAGTCATTTGGAATCTATGAAGAGGACGTGAACTAAAAGCCAAACACATCCAGCAAGTCACGGCAGCCCTGCACATGGGTGAACAAGGGTCCTTCCCACAACTTCCTGAATGACAAGTAACTGGGAGAGGTGTCCGGCAGCAGAGCGGTGAGGAGGGCAGAGCACCGTTACTCTCCCCAGGCACAAGCTTGCCTCCTGGCATTTCTGTTGGCTGGCACTCCTGGGGGAGACATTGCCAAGGGTTTTTGCACATGTGAGGAGTTGCCCTAGTGTAGCCACAGGGCATACACATTAGCCTCTTTCACGGTCTCATGCACAAGTGAAAACCTTCCAAAGAGTGCCTTGCTCTATCCCTGGGGAGGCCTACCTTGGGCTGGAAGACTCGGTTCTCCTTCCGCAGGTGGTCCACAATCCCAAAGATGCACAGTGGCCCTGCAAAGCCCAGCAGGTCAGCCAAGATGCGGAAAGTGCTGCTGAGGACCAGGTGTCTCCCGAAGGCACGGCAGAGTGCCTGCCAGATGGCCCGGGCACCCTGTGTGTTCTGTGAGTCCTTCTGCTGCCCAGAGAGACCCATGGTCAGGTCAGAGTGGCCGAGGGCCTATTCATAGCAGGGCCTGGCCTCCCAGGAAGCCCCTGGGTCCTGCTGCCTGGGGAGACCCAGTTGTCACAAATACTACAAACAAGTGAACCTCAGGAAGAAACCAGGGGGCCACCAGGGCACGGCTGTGGGCCTATCAATGCCAACACAGTCCAGATGGGAACTGAGGCACGATGACTGAGCAGGGTCACACACTGGTTGGGGACTGTGATGAGCACAGCACTGTAATGACTGACATGTGCCACTGTGTCTGCCTCAGTGTCTCCCCCTGCCATGCTAGGGTTGAGGTAGCCTGGGAGTTGGACTGGGAGTCGGGAGACCAGCTCTGCCTCTTACCAGCGTGCGCCAGCTCTGGGCAGGTCACGGCCTTTCTCAGGAGGTCCCTGCCTGGTCCATCTCATAGAGTTATTGTAAGGATCAGTCACTAAAACCGCTGCTCTAAAATGGGTGAAAATTCCCACCTTTTTAGCCATGGAACTCTAGAAGGAAGAACACAGGGCATGGGGAAATTCAAGGGGACACTTCCTTTCCCAGGGCATCAGTTTCCCCATCTGGATAATGAGGGTATTAGATCAAATGACCTAAACTTTAAGGGCAGTTCCAGATGTGGCTGTCCTATGAATCTTTAATTCTGGACTTGTCCCTGGTTCACTGTGTCACACTTAGGGCAAGCCTTTTTCCCTTACTGGGTCTTGGTTTCCCCACCTGTCCCACCAGGGGTTCGGCCTGACACCCTCTGGGGTTCCCATCTGTGACTCTAAGCCAGAAGGTGGGGTATGGATGGTGTGGCTGTGCCCCCACTGACCGCCTGGGCCTCAAAGGCCTCGCAGAGCCGCTGGTAGTTGGTTAGGGCCCTCATGGCAATGGGCAGCTTCCCAATGGCTCGGAGATCAATGGGCTTCTTGTGAGCAGTCTTGATGAAGGCATTCATCCACCAGTAGGTGCCTTTGGACAGCAGGTTCACGAAGGGCTGCAGGAAGCGCACCCCCAAGTCCTGTAGGTCTTCAGGGGGCTTCACTTCCCGTGGCATCTTGAAGAAGATATATCTCTGTGGGGCACATGGGCCACCAAGGATGGGTAAGTGCAACTTCTCACCACTCTCCACTTGCCCTAGCAAAGATCTGGGGCTGTGGCAGCCCACCTTTGACCTCTAACAGATGGGGCCATCTCTTTCCTATTCCTAGGGAGAGGATTTCCCACAGGGAGGGGATACCCCTCACCTCTTTGCCACCAATGCCAGGGCCTCCTGACTTGTCACTCTTCCCCAAGGCCTACTCTGAATCCCCATGGCTGGGTTGGGTTTAAGTTGGTTTGGGGAAGAGAAGGAATCTTCCATACATCATCTTCACAGATCTGAGGACACCAACATGTTTCATGTTGGGTTTGCAGAATGTGGAGCCATGCAGACCTGGGTTAGAATCCTACCTTTTCCACTTACTAACAAGGTGTCTTTGGGCAAATCTTATCTAAAATATTTCCTTGCATCACTGGGGTGCATCACAGAGGGTCAGTGGAGGCAGGGAATATAACAGAGCCTCTATACTCTGCAAATCACCAACTAAAAGCAGAGGAGTCAGAGAAACGCAAATTCAAGTAGCACTTGGCACTCATCAGGCTGGCCTATGTTAGAAATGGCTATTCCCCCCCACCCCCAGTTGCTCGTTGGAGGCAGAGAAAGGGCTTTCATATTCATTGCTGATAGATTACAGCCTCTCTGGGAGGTGATCTGCAACATCAGTTACAATCTAAAATACACAGACCCTTTGAGCCTGCATTTCCACTCCTTGGACTCTCTCCCACAAAAATGAAAGCAGCAATAAACATACAGAAATAAGTATGTTTAATACACCATTAGCTGTGAAGGCAAAAACTTGGCAACAGAGTGAAAGTCCATCAATAGGATAATGGCTGAATAAATAAGGGCTCATCCACATGATAGAATGCTATGCAGCCATTAAGAAAACTAAATTAGCCATACTGTTGGCTGAGAAAAGCAAAATGCAGAAAACTGTGTATAATATGATCCTATTTTTATAAAATGAATATTGAGGAAAAAAACCACATACTTGCATGTCTTAAGAAAAAAGAATCCTGAATAGATACAAGTATATGGTATTTCATTAATGACCAAGAATAGAACATGTACTGGGTTGTTCATCTAGATTACCTGAGAAGGGAAAGGTCGGGGAAGGGGAGAGGAGGGGAGAGAAGGAAAGAATATGCTTTTTAGATTTAATGTGTTCACCCATGAATATGCAAGTGCATATGAACACATTAAAATAAAGACAAGCCCACCCCCACTAAAAACAAACAAACATAGCTCAGAGAAGCCAGGACTTGAAGCTTTTTTCCCCCCCTTTATGTGATTAAACTCAGAATCCTTCAACCTCAGGTAATGCACGCTGATACCTCAGACTTGGGTAGAGGGCAGCTGGGCCAGATGGAATGTTCCCCTAGAACTTTCTCCTACTGGCCTCAGTTCCCTTTTGTGGGCCAGGAAAACAGGCTGACTCCTTCCAGAGCGCGGCTACAAAGCACCCAGGTGTTGGGCACTGGTCAGAAGCCCTTCCCTGGCCCAGGCGTGTCCTTGGGTGGGTGTTGGGGTGAGGGGCAGCCCAGAACAGCCTGCTTACCCGCACCCTGATGACATTGATCTCCACCAGGAGCAGCGTCCCATAGAGGATCACCAGCAGCCCTGTGAGGCAGAAGCGCAGCTGCGAGAAGCCAATGGCGTGGTCGTAGAACTTGACGAACTTGATGGTCTTGGTGATGAAGGCCAGGGTCCAGTAGACTAGTAGGGCTGCCGAGGAGAGGTGGCAGAGCATGGAGGATGTGTGTGCATGCATTCATGTGTGTGTGCACTCACGTGTGTGGAAGCCAAAGACAGAACAGTGTGTCAGGGAGGGGGTATGTGTGCACAAGCAATTGTTATGGGTGTGTGTGCACATTTCCAAGTAAAGGGATGTGCATGTATACTTTTGAGATGATGTGCATACATTAAAACATTCATGATAGGCATGTGTACAAGATCATAATCTTATAAGTCAAGCTGGTCAGCCAAATTTCCCTTTACAATAAATAAGAAAAATAGGGAAAGTATTTCTTGAATTAAACTAAGGCTGTATATTTAGTATAGGCACTGTGCCAAGTAAGCACTTTAAACATATTATCTCATTTATTCCTTACATAACTTTGTGAGAGAAATATTGCTGTCATCCTGATTTAACAGACAAGGAATCGAGGCTCAGAGTTAGGTAACTGATGCATCAAGTGGTGCAGCTGGGCTTGCCAAATGCTGGAGCTCCACTCTGCACTGGCTTCCTTGTGGAATTTCCAAGTTGGGAAGATCTCAAAGGTCCTTCAGTCCAGCCCTTCCATTTTGCTGATGAGGAAACTGAGGCCAAGAGAGAAGGTGACCTCCCCAAGCTCACTGCAAGCTAGTGACAGAGAGAGGGTAAGGGCCTAGTTCCCTGGCCCCCATCTAGAGCCCATGACAGCATGACGGTGCTCCTCAGGGAGCCTGGGGGAGTGGGAGCACACAAAAAGTGAGCCAAAGTCTAGGAGGCAGTGTGTATAATGGTTAGAGTGGGCCCTGCAGCCTGGACACAGATCCTGGGGCCTAAGAGCTATGTAACCTTGAGTAAGTCATTTAACCCATCTAGGCCTCAGTTTCCTCTCCATTAACCAGGATAATAATAGTACTGCCTGAAAGGCTGATGTGAGCCACGCATGGAAAGCACTTAGCACAGTGAGCTTGGCATGCAGTGGGTGCTCTTTGAACCTCAGCTGTTAATCTTTCTATGATCTCCAGATTTCAGACCTGGGACCATAAACATGAAGCTATCAGTGGATTCTATCCTCTAAATTACCACCACCACCACCTGCCAATAAACCAGTCAGCTGGCAATAACAAAAACTGGCAGTAACTAAGTCCCGATCAAGGGATGTTTCAGCACAGCCCCTTCCCCCTCACTCCTAGAGCTGTCATACGCAGACAAGGCTGGCCCAAATCCCCTAGGGCTCCTCTCTAGCCAGACCACAGAGAGGAAGAGCCCTTTGCCCTGCCCTCCACTCCAGAAGGTGTGGACACCTCTTGGACATGAATGAATGCCAGGGCATCTCTTGGGGACAAAATCTGGGGTCTTTCCCAGCCCAGTTCTGAGCTGACAACCAGGTTGCCCAGGGAAGAGGCAAATGCCATTTACCTCAGATCCCTGTCTGAAAGCATTGCGATAGAGGACAGAAGCATGTTTTCTGGTCCCAGCCCTCAGGACTGGGATGATATTCACTAAGCTTAGTTTGGTCTCCAGGTCATAGGATCCCAGAGCTGAGGCCATCCCCCTGCCTCCACACCTACACTCTCCCAGACTCTACCCCAAGCATCAGAACCTCTTTAACTCTTTGTGAGGGTCACCTACAGCGCCAGTCCTTGAAAATATGCGTCACACTCGTCTCTAATGCATAACAGATATGGTCTGATTTGATTTTAATAACATCCCTATGACTTAGGCAGGGACTTACTGTTCCTGTCCATATGGGGAAACTGAGGCTCAGAAACGCCAAATGTCCTGTCCAAAGCCACACAGAGAGTTAGTGGTGGACCCAGGACTAAGCCCAGGGGTTGCTTCCACAGTCCCATCCTACAGTGCTGAGCCCTCAGCCTGTCGCCAGACACAGCAGCGCTCAGCAAAAGCTTGGTGCTGACTGAGACTAAAGGAGAAAGGAAAGAAAGGGGGATACACAGGGCTGCTGCTGGGGGGTAAGCTCTCAATTCCCATCACCCCCGCTTCTTCCCCACCTTCCACCTATTACCAAGTTCTATTTTACCTCCTAAGTATCTGGGGTCCACTCACTTCTTCCCATCCCAATGGCCTCCTGGGTTCAGGGTGCCATCATCTCTCCCCTGGCCTCCCGTGAGAGCCTTCTCATGGTTTCCGCCTCCTGTCCACCTCCATCTTAGCCTCCATAAAGCAATGAATATGATTAAATATGATCTCAATGCACCCATGTTCATAGCAGCATTATTCATAATAGCACCAAAAGGTAGAAGCAACCCAA